CTCCAAGTCTGAGCTAAACCATCTCCAAGATCAGATAGCATCAGAGCAGCAAAAAGCAGAAAAACAAATCTTGAGTCTGAAAGAAGCAATGAAAACGCAAAGGATGCAGCTTGAAAGAAAACTGCACGTAAGTCCCAGCTGAGGGGAGAATGTCTGGGGATTGGGGTTATTTGAAACAGCGAAATGACAGAACACCCGCTTTTATTGTAGGAGGAACAAAGTAACACATTAACTTCATGACCAGGCAGAACTTGAGGCAACCAAGCTCTGGCATTTCTAGCTTGTGCTGCAGGTCGCACCTCTCGCTGCTCCTCTTTAGTGCTGTTTCTGCCTTTTAGCTTGAAATTGCATTATGTGGATTCTCTCGATTCGTTTTTCCGCAGTGGATGCTCACAGTAAAAGGCAATTTTCCTGCATATTCCTAGGAACAAAAGCATGAAAATAACTGTTTGCAGAGTGATATAGCAACTGCTGAACAAGTAGCACACAGTAACCATGAACGAGCCAAGCGCCTCATCAAGGACCTTGGCCAGATCCACCAGGACTACGTGGATCTCCAGTCCCAGGTATGACCGAGTGGCCGGGTTTGAGGGGAAGCTCCGTCTTCCAGACAAGTTCATATTGCGTTGGTTTTGAATCTCCTCCTGTCCACTGTATTGCAGTCAGAAATTGACCTACTTAAAATCACTGTGTGGTTTTCCCAGATCTGGGAGAAGTTAAGCTTTGTTAACAGCCAGCAGGATCAGGCAGCTCAGTAATCCCGGTTTAAAAATGAACAAACCAGCTCCAGCCAGTCGTGTGCGGAGTTCGCAGCGTAGGGCTGCCAAGCTCTGAAGCGCTACTTCAGTCTTCAGAGATCGAAGGCCACGGCAGAGTGGCACAACTGCATGGTTGCCTTCCCATCGCAGGGTGAATTCCAGGCGCTGTTCAGGCCCGTTCAGATGGATCAGCCCCTCTCGCCCAGTAAAACGATGCCTGGAACGGAGGCCGTGCTCTTTGGAGGTGGGCTGAGGGCGGAGGGGACTCATCCTAGCTCTTCGTTAGCAGTAATTGGATCTGGGTGCTCCCAAGATACATAACCATAACATCTGCCGTCAGCTCACTTTGGGCGATGCTTCAGCCAAGAATGAGGGCTCCGGCTCCTGTTTACGTTAAGGTTTGGTAGCAGGAACTTGGCGTAGCTGGAGTCGTAACTTAGGCAAATCGCTAAATGTTATCAAAGTTCAAAGCTACTCCGTAGGCGCTTCACAACTCGTCAGTGCTAACCTGGGCCAGCATTTTCTTCTTTTGATATTCACTTTAAATGAAAAGGTGATTCCACGTTGTCTGACTCCTTCTAGTCCTCTAATAAATCCTTTATAAGTTGTTCCCAAGTCCTTGAAAAATAGGGTCCTTCACAGAAGAATGCTGTTAGCAGCTAGAAAGCGTTCAAGGCAGACTGTGCAAGACCAGAGTAGGTTTAAGGGTTTAAGTTAACAAGTTCTGTCTTGGCAGCTTCAGCAGCCTCTGTTACCGTCCGAGGGGCCCCGTAGGCAAAGTTAACGTCAGAATTAGGGCTGCATCTGTTCGGAGGTTTTGTGACTTCTGATTGCAGTCGTCAAAATGTAAACATTTTGGAAATGAGCCTCGTTCAGCTGTGCAGGCAGATCCCTCTGGATTAATGCATTTGTGACGCGGCAGCACAACGCTGAGACTGTTCTATGATGCAGGTGAAAACTCAAGAAGCCCTGGAAAAGAGACAAAGGGAAATACAGACCGCAGCAACGTTGCTTAAACTGGAGGTTGAAGATGAAATTAGGATGGGGTTTAAATCTTCAAGCCCACCTTCTCTGGAACCGTGGGAAGATCTGGAAGCATCTTCAGAAGCGAAGGGAGGGCTGCAGCGTGAGACCGGCCCGTTTGCTGCTGCTGACAAGAGACTCCTCTCGTTGGAAGAAAAGTTGAATTTTTCTAACGTCGTCTTAATGGTAAAATGCTTTCAAAAAGTAGCTGCTGCTTGTGCTACAGCAGTCAGCACTGGTACCTCTGGCTGTAACGCTCTGCTGCTTTTGTTTCCGAAAGGATGAGCAGTGGCGTGGAGAGGCTCTCCGAGAAAAACTGCAGCACCAGGAAGATCGGCTGAAGGTGGGGGACCTCTTCCCAGTCACCCCCGCGTGCCCGCTGGGTCCCTGCCAGAAATCCCCCGAGCAGCCCGGGAGCGCGGGGATCCCTCTCCAAGGGGGGGCGGGGGACGACGGGGCAAGGAAGCCCAGCAACTGCATGCTGTATCAAGACGAATAATTTAAATTAACAGTTAATTGCATTTTTGAGTACTCCAACCAGCTTCCCTCATTTATCTCGTCCTGTGGTATGTTAGCAACGTGACAAATGACAGTTCAGGAGCACCCATGATCACTCGAAGTACAGGGGACGGCCAGGTTTCGTTAGAACATGTCTGTTGCTCTCTCCTCAAGCAGTTAATGATAAAGGCCATAAAAATAGAGCTTATTTCTGACTTGGGAGGAGGCAAACTATTTAAAAATAATTTGCAAACCCATTGCCACCTGCTTGTGGTTTGAGACTGTAGCGTTCCAGCCCTTACGGCTTGACTTCAGGGGCATGAGCTGTTCTAAATACAGCCTCGAAAATGACAGGAGCGGGATAGAAATCGCACTAACCGTGTCTTTAGGCTCGGCTCCGGCAGTGCCTGTCCAAGCAAGTGGAAGTGTTGATCAGAGGAAAACGGCAAACGGAAGGCACCCTGCACAGCTTGCAGCGGCAGGTTGACGCGCTGGATGACCTGGTCAGCAGTGCTTCCTCGGACTCGCAGTTTCTAGCCCAAAGCGCAAGTCTGGTGCCTCTTCACGACGCTCTGAATTTAAAAATTTAACGAAAACGCAGGTAATGCCCTACTGTGTACAGGAATTCTGCGTTTGGGGTTTTTTTAATAATTTTTAGCTCACTGGTGGCCTACTACAGCCACGTGCTCGCCGTCCTGGAGGCATGGCGGGGGTTTTCAGAAGGTGGGCTGATGGTACTGAACACTGACTCTGACAGTCGCTAACTTGTTTGAAAAGGGTAAGTTCCTCAAAGGTGTTAGGTTGGGGGATTGGTTTTGTTGTGGTTTTTTTTTTTTACTTTGTCTTACCTTTTATTCTTTAAAAAAAAACAAAGAAAAATCTGGATTTTAAAGATGAACATGACTCTGCTAACTGAAGACATTCTTCTATTACTCAGGCTTGCTGTTACTGCTTTTTCTAGGCCCCTCTGACAAGACTGGCACGCTTCCCCAGCAGGCCGGCGGGCGTTGCCGTCCTGTCCCAGCCGTCGCACTCCTGCTCGGGCGGGATCCCTCAGTAAAGCCCAGAGGTGAGATGCTGGTGGGCAGCGGGTGGTGGGCGCAGGGCAGGCGTGGGCGCAGGGCTGCTCTCGGCCCGCGCTGTCCCTTTCCGGTGCCAGCATTCCCGCGGTCGGTATCCCACGCGTGACGCGGGTTTGGCTCTCAGGTGCGCATTTTCAAACAAAGCGTGGGTGAGAGCTGCTTGTAAACTCCCCGCTGACCAGAAATTCCTACTGTGTCAGCCAACTTCCACGTTAAGCTGCTGCCGTCCTTGATCTCCCAGTTAACGCTTTTCTGGTTTAATGAATGGATGGCCTAGCAGCGAGAGTTCAGCGGCAGCTACTTACACTGCCGGCCTGGGCCGTAGGCCTTCTTTTGTATTGACTCAAGTTACAAACATACTACTTTGAGCTGCCATACGCTAGGAGAAAAGCTTCAAGCCCACCTACCACCCGTAGGAGCCAGGCTGACCGTCCCTCACCTCGGCTCTCTCCTAGGCAGCGGGAGGGACGGCCTCCTCAGGCCCCTGCCGTCAGCCACCGCCGTCGGAGAGCTCTACCTCACTGTTCGCAAGCCTTCTCCAAAAAGGCGTTTGCCACCACTAGCAGCCCGCTGGCTGCAGGGCCTGCTCTCTACTGTGAAGTTCGGGTACGAGTAACTAACTCGGCTTTATGTACATAAGTGGTTTTTAAAAACTATTTTAAATGTGTCCAAAACACCTCCGTCTATTTAAGTGTCCGTAGTTGGCAGTTGCCACTTCAAAGACAACTTGTCCCGGACAGAGTTGTCCATTTACCTGTTGCCAAATGCACGGCTGTTTTAAATACAATTATTTTTGAGTACTTCCTTCAAATAAACTTCACTGACTGATGCTTACTTTTATCAATGGTGGTTTGCTTTTTTTTTTTTTTTTTTTTTTGACGAGGAAACGGCCCGACGCGGACACGGCGCCTGCCTCAGGCCAGCAGCAGCAGGCGGCCCTGTGAAAGGGAGAGCTGCCCACGGGGGGTATTTCCCCCCTCGCTGAAGGCCGAGCCCTACGGCTTTCCTGAAGCTGTGGTTCTGTAACAGAGTTCCAAGCAGCTTGCTCTTAGAAAAACCACGTTGTAGAGCCTTCAGGCAGCAGGAAAGGCAGGAGGGATCACCGCCTGCACCCCCCTGTCCTGAGGAACACCTCCAGCAGGACATGCGCGCAGGGTGCCTCTCTCCCAAGCCTTTCCAGCGCGACGGGTCTTAAAGTCATTCGCAATCCCTTCCTCGGCCACATTATTAACACAAACCTCCGCAGTGAGCATCACCTAGCAGCTCTGTCACATCTCGCTGGGAAGCACCGCCGCGGCCCAGCCCTGGCCCTGCCTTCTGGGCTCAGCACGGCCCTGCTACATCTTAAAGGAGTTGTGGGCCCCAGAAGAGCCTGGCAGCCTCCTCTCGTGAAAAGCCCGGGAAGGCTTTACCACTTCAGGCTGAACACAAGCCGTTAAAACCCAACTGCCGTCACCACCAGGAGCTCGCGCTCCTCCGCCCCCCCTTCAGGGAGATGCTTTTCTCAAGAAGCGCAGGCCCGTGCCTCGGCGGTGGCAGAGGGAGAACAGCCCCCGGAGCTGAAGAGCGCCAAGGACCAGGCCCCCCCGCAGTCACGGCGTCGGCAGAGAGGGCCGCAGCAAATACAAGGCAAGCCACTGTTTATCTAGATACAGGTACTTTATTTACAAATATTTAGATTAATAGCATTGTTACATCAAATGAGGAGTACAGCAGTCTGAACAAATCCTTTCTGTGACAGAAACAATAAGACCTACTGTAACTTACTCTGGGAGTACAGGTATTGCACCTCAACAAGCTGTAGTCATGAGAACATTGACTTCACCTCAGCAGCAGGTCGTGGTCCCTGGGCAAACCCTTTGTGGTGCAGCCGTGGTTTAAGCAGGATGCATTAGCTGTAGATCTTGAACATACCCATCTACTTAAGAGTATTAGTTAAAAAAAGGACTAACCAGACAAAACAAAGGGACAGCGCACAAGTTACCCAAATCCTATTGTCTGCACATTCCAGTTTTGGCTTTTATTTAACATTGACTGTACAATACTCTGGTACCACTGTTTACTTACAAGTCTGAACGGTGTAGAGTTTTAGTGTCTAGAGAGGGATTTTAAGACTACTTTGTATTTTAAACACTGCAGTGAGCCTAAAGTTGGACATTTGATCACAGTTCGGCACTTACCCCCTTCCCTTTTTAAACCATATGTGATATTTCCCAAGCAAAGCTTCACGTGAAATACAGCAGCACTGCACGGAGCTGCACCTTCCCGCCTGACCCACAGCAAACCCCGCACGCGCGCACGGCCGCCGCCCGACATCTCCCCCCGTACAGGCATTACGGGCTGCGTCACCCCGCGAAGGACGTACCCAAAGCCCAAGTCTTAAAAGAAACCCTCACCCGGGACTGTTACAAATACAACAGTAGTTCAAAATCCCTAGAGAGCAGGCGCGTTGTTCCGACTGTCCAGTTCAGCCTCCGACCATTCAAAAAAGTTAAAAGTATAAAGCGCAAGATGTGCAAGAGAACCAGCCTTCGTATACGGTGCAAGGCGGGTGATGAAGCCCAATAATGCAAAACGCTTACAGAAGAGAAAAGCGGGTTAGCACGCTGCCGATTGCACGGAACGGGATTAATAAAACGGTGTCGGTATACCACAGTGCAAAGACGAGAGACAGATTCCACTAGTGTTAGTTTCTGCGGCGGGATTAGAGCTCCCCCAGCACGATGTCCGCTGGCGACACAAGGAGTTAAGCCTACGTTAGTGAGCCGCAGTCACATCTACTTCTGTACTAACGGGGCGACGTGGTCACATACAGGCCATACTGTACAAACTGGTATTTCCTTATATACTGTCCTAATGCCAGTAATCATTTTCTTCATTAAAATCATATACACAGGATGTATTTAACCGTTAGCTCAGTTCCTTCAAATTTTATACATATTTACGTTCTGTTAACAAATGTAAAGGATAAAAGTGGCAAAAAAGTGACGTAAAGCTACGAGCACGAGAATGAATGGATCGTTTCCCTGTGCAAGTTGTACGCTCCCGCGCCAGCCCGCCCCAGCACACCACACCACAGGGAATTCTTTCAACAAAAGCACATTGTTACAGAGCCCCTTGCTACCGTCGGATGTCATTTCACAGCAAAAACTTATCCTTTACTATGGACAGCTCTAAACAGTTATTAGAGGTGGGGAAGAAAGGCCAAAGAACCGTAAAATTAAACCGTACAAGACAAAGCCCTGCGAAAGTGTAAAATCATGAGTCCAGCATCAGTGCTCAGTTTAAATTATGTATCGGTGACACTATCACAAGGACAATCAAGGAAAAAAAAAAAACTTCTAGATTTACCATGCAGGAGAGGTTTTATTACTCTACTTGCCTTTGATAACCTGATTACATCTAAAGTTGTTTAGCAGTTTAGTACTGTGTTAAACTTGTCTCAGAGTTTTAATTAAACCCAATAAGATGTACAGAAGACAGGGAAGCAGTCAAAAGCACCGCTTCCAGCGGACAGAGGTGAAAGGTCAGAAATGGAGCCACGGAACAGAGGTCACTAGCAGCCACAGCCTTCTCTCTGGGGCTGGGGTTCGCTGGTTAGTCGCCCCCCCTGCGGAGCTGACGGTTTGTGCTGTACGCCCGATTCTGCCGCATTCAGATCCAGGCTTCCGTCTTGGATGTTCTGGTAGATTTTCTTGGCAGCCTCCAGGAACGCATCCTCAACGTTCTCCCCACTACGAAGAGAGCGGCGGGAGTTATTTAGGCTATGCTTCAGCAAAGCAACGCGGGCTACGGGGGCGGCTGGCCAGGCGCCCTTGCCAGGATTTGACAGGTCACCAAGTAGAAGCAGGCGCCACCCTGCCCTCACATGCAGGAGCAGCTCAGAGTACCGAAAGCAGACATACCATGTCGTCAGACAACCTACCCCTGGGACCCCCTTTGATAAGGCACTTCACCCCTAGCCATTCAATCCATGGGACTAGCCCGGAATAAAAAAAATACATGCCAAAACGCTGAGGAGCAAAAATAAGCTAAGGCACTGAGCCACATGCACAGAGCAGTTTTGAAAGAGGCTTAAAGACAGGGGAGCTACTATTGATCAATCAAAACCTTTTTGTTAAAAGGTTCCACGAAGACAGGAGCCAGTTGGAACCGCATTCACTGGCATCACTGGGGGCCCAATCCCTCGCATCCCGCCAGGCTCCCCCGCCGGCCACAGTACGGCACGGCGAGTCTTCTCGGTGACCGCCGGGAACGGCTGTTCACTACAGAACTCGCTCGCAGCGCGAAACGTCCGACAGAAGGAACGTCTAGGTGGGAACCACGCTTACCCACACATACACGTTCTATGCTCAAATGAGTTCATCTGAATTCAACAAGTCTTTGCCTGAAATACAGCGAGAGGTCTAATTTCCCAGTTACCTTTAAGTCAAAGCCGACACGATTGAAACCGCTATACATACCTTGCCCTCTAAGAGAAGTCAAAAATGGTTTGGGTTTTTTTTGCACTTGTAAAACCCCGCTATACCCGAACCCTATGGCTGCACTTAGTCATAACCAATATATTCCTCTTAAACAGATCACATCTGAATCATTACTCTAGACAAAAGTAACTTACGTTTTTGCACTTGCTTCAAGGAACAATAAACCTGTTCAGAAACAGAGGTTTAACAGTCAATGCATAATGTACTTCAAACAGCCCCAAGTCAGCCACATTATGACCTTCAGATTACATGCAAGACTATTTTAGTACTGAACGGTACTCTGTGACTAAGTTAAGGCATCAGTTCACAAGCTGATTTCTAGAACTAAGCACAGTTAGAGTTAAGCCACACTATCTGAGGCACAGTAGAAGTTTGTACATATAATTACATTCCTTTGGAAGCATCAGCTTGCGGCTATCAATGCCGAGGATTCACTTTAACATCGCTATCTTGTAGAAAATGTAACAGCTCAAGAGAAAAAACACACCATTTTCTTCAGCAAATTGTTTGGCTTCTTCATATGTAACATCCCTCTGTGCTTCCAGATCTGCTTTATTTCCTATGAGGATTATCACCTAGTTCAGAAGAGAGAAAATCAGTCTGGGAAAAAGGTTATTAGCTTTTTCACTACCACCCTCATTATTAATAAGACAAAAAACCCAAAAGGAAACATGCAGAAAAGTTTAACTGCGAAAGCCATGCGTCTTCAGGAAAGCGCTGCTCTGGCAGCGCCCCCTCTGCAAAGGCAGGAACAGCATCTCCAGCGGTCGCTTTCAAATGCTTTAGGCTGTTCTCATGAGATGAGGTCCTAAAAAGCAGCAGTCCTGCTCTTTATTCACCAGCTGTACTCTGAACCACTTCTTGATTTGTTTAATCATCTGCTAATCCAGCCAGCATCTTTAAAAGTTTTCTTTCATCACAGCAGAGTCTTCCCGTGAGCTTGGTGCTGAAGTATTTGAGGGACATTGAGAAAAAGCCTGAAGGACAACAGCTTTGTGGTATGGCCAAAGAGACACAGAAGAACCTTCCTCCCCCGTCCCTCCAGGGGACTTGGTCAGCTTTTGCTGAAGATCCAATTTATATTCCAATCTAAGATGAGATAGCATTCACCTCATTACTACCACAAAGCAAGAAGAAGTAGTAACAAAAGGTAAAGTTCGTCCATAGTTAATCACAATTTTGTCCCCAACTGCTGAAAACAGGCCCCTGAAAGGCAAGTGGCACAACTGGACTTTTAGAAGAAACCACTGCTTTCCTGCACAGGAGCCTACACTTTTGCTGCAGTTGCAGTACGGGAAGAGAGTCCCTGGTACGCTGCAAAATGGGGACATCGGGACGACTCAGAGCTAAGTCACTGAGAAAACACAGGCAGCTTATTTCAGAGAACACTGCTCCCGCTGCAGATGCTTTGGCCTAAGCCTTCCACCTCTTCCTTAGAGATAAGCAATCTTGCTTTCAAGCTAAATAAAGTCCAACTTACAGTATTTGGATTGGTGAGGTTCCTTGCATCTGTCAGCCAGCTGCTTAAGTGATTATACGTACTTCTTCTGCAAAGAATCAAGTGGGTACAGTTTTAGCTATGGTATTTTTTAAAATATGCAAGTGCCAACAGCATCGTGAGCATCCATTAAACACACTAACTTCTGTCATCCCTATTCTTCTCCCCAACCTCAAGAAAGACAAAGCAGCAGCATCTTCTTTGGGCTCAGACCAAGGTTTCAACAAGTCAGCTTTAAACCCACAGAGCAACTCTTACCACACGGGTGGAAGGACAGACCAACTCGCACTTCTGGGCTGCGGTGGTTTTACTGTCCTCACAAGGACAACGTTTATATTGTTTTGTACAGAACACATTAAAGGATTTCCTGTCAAATACTCTTAGGGAACACTGTACAGTAGAATAGCACTTTGGTAACAAACAGCGCATAAGATTATTTATGTTCTACTCAAGATTTCAGCAAACAGGAGAGATACCTATATACGCAGAAAGAGAGAGGTGCTTAAAGAATATCAAGAAAGCCCCAGAGGAAGATGGGAGACATGTGAAAGAAAAAGTATTTCACGTTGCACATCTGATCAATTATTCTTTTAGCAGCATCTTTAATCTTCATCTATAAAAGGAAGACAGGAAAGCTCCTCTGCAGTCTCGTTTTGTTGGAGGACCCGTGAAGAGGCACAGAAGTCACACTTCTCCAGTGCTCTCGATCTGTACAGAGTCTGTTAGGCATGTTTACAGAGCCCACTGCAACAGAGGTAATGTCCTGTCCTGTGCCTACTCTCAGAATATTCCTACCAGGTAAGCAGCAGGATCCATTGCCTCCCAGGAAGAGAGAAACCCATGTACCAAAGAGTAGATTTTAAGGGCAAAGCCTGTTCCTTAAACAACTTCAACATGGGCAGGCAAGGCCTGAAATGGCAAGATCCTCAGGTCTGTCAGCAGGGAAGTTCTCCAAGAAAAGCAGCTCTCATAATTCCCTATGTTTCATTTTCAGCTCTTTAAATACTTAAAGTATTTATCTAAAGAATTGTGGTAAGCTTCATACAACAGGATACAGTTCCATCTGGACAGAGACAGAGGCCTTTAAATCTAAGTCAAGGGGACAGACAAGACAGCAGAGAGGTATCCAAACGCTTGTCAAGCACGCAGAGCTGCCATACAGGATGCACCAGCCAACGGCACCTTACCTGGTGATGTCGTAGACCATGAGAGCTCCCGCTGCTCCTCTGTAGTAGCTTCGTGTGACAGCCCTGAATCTCTCTTGTCCTGCTGTATCCCAAATCTGTAGTTTAATTTTTTGGCCACTAACTTCAATTATTCTTGTGCCAAATTCAACACCAATTGTGTGGGGACAGTCCGCCATAACTGTCATGGAAAATAAGAGCAAAGATCAGATCTTTGTAGTACATGGTCTCCTTGCTACAAGGATATTACTATCACCAGTTTTCAGTTATCTTTACTAGACTTTCAGTCTCTAAGAAAGCATTTTTATAGCTACAGTACCCAAACTGTAAGACTTAACCAGAAATAAAGTTAATTATTTCCTGAACTGCCGTTAGTTTTAAAAATAGTTATAAAATTCCTTGCCTTCTCTGCTGCATGTATACTGATGCTGTTTGGCCATATATACCAGAAGGTATCAAGTCAGTTGATTCTCAGTCTATCCTTGCAGAAACGGTTAACTATTTTAATGCAGTAGGAAAAGATAACTTTTAGGGAATTACCAAGATACAGTTAAAACAGCTTCAAAAACAAATATCCAAGTTGTTTCAGACAGGGTAATAGCATGGCTGTCCACAGGACAAAGCCAGTTTCATAATAGCTATCAACACAGCAAATCAAAACCACATCTTCCTAGTTATAATAAACTCCTCTTAATAAGCTCATCTTTAAGAACGATCAAGAAAATACAGAAAGGACGAGTACCTATTCAAGCTATCTACAGTTAGTGACAGTCTTGTAGGTGTTTGGTATGTTAGTTTGTTCAGCTGTACTGCTTCGGCTTAACGCTGACAAACTAAGAACAAGACACAGCCCTGTCAAGAATTTGACCGTATGCACAGCAGCATTTGAACAATTGGCTGATATTGGATTTTAATTAAAAGCAACAGTTTTTAAAAAAATCCTACTTCTACTAGAACACAGGAATATTCTAAACTGCAGCTCCTACCCACTTATTGCCACATCTCAAGCAGCGCGTGGTAAAGACTAACTTTGTACTAATAAATACCTACGGACTTATCCATCGAGCGTGAGCTTCATGGAAAGTTCCTAAGAGCTAACAGCCGCTGCAAACTCCAATGCGACACACGTTATTAAGAAGAACTGAATCTAATTCTTGATTAGTCATGATAGCATACATGACAAAACGTTACAGTTGAGACAGACTACAGTAAGCCTTAAACACCATCACACAGGGCAGTCCAAGTGTCATGCGTCACAGCAGCTACAGAGAATGACAGTGCTACTTAAGTCTGCAAACAGAATCAAAGAAAAATGAATCTTTTTTTCTTTTTGAAGTGCTTAAAAGCACTAAAAAACTCTACTGTTTGTGTTTGAGCTCCACTGAAAACATGCAGATTTCAGACAAGAAATTTCACTTTATTCCGTATCAAAATTCCCCAGAAAAGCTGTAAAAATAGCCACAGTCTTCCCACTCATCACAGGCAGGACTAACTGAAGCAGCAGTTTTGCCGTTACTACATCAACATTTTGTTTCTACATCTGCAGGAGTCAAAACAAAAATCTGACCAAGTACAGTACAAACCCATACTGATTAAGACAGACACCACATCAAGCTCATGCATGATGGAAGCAGAGAGGCAGGAAGAGAGGAATGAAGCATACCAATTAGAATAAATATTGTGAATCGAAATACTCACACTTCTTTTCTGTAAATTGATGAAGCAAACAGGACTTTCCTACACCCATGTCCCCTGTTACAGAAAGAATAGTTAAGGCTGACACCACATCATTGTCGCAACAAGCACATTTTCTTCATCCCACACAACAAATGGTACAGAGACAGGCAGCCATTTCTTTCTCAGGTCTAGTGGGCAACATTCTATACCTGGCTACAGTCCTTAAATTTATCAACTTTTACACTATAGTTTTGGTAACAGGCACAGGGTTGCAAGCAAGGGTGGAGCAGAAGACTCAGAAGTTAATCTGTATTACTGATTTTACAACTGTATTTCACAAGGTTATGAGAAGCAGAGCTGTAAGGAACCGAAATGTAAAATACGCCTTTAGAGTGTTTGTCCTGCTCCTGTCTTACTTGCAATTACTGGTAAGGACATCGAAAAATACTGAAAACCAACCAGAACACACGAAGAAATTGCTTCACTTCCACCGATCCACTTACACAATGCCAATAGCGAGAAATAGCAAGATCTTTTAAGAACCAACTTTTCCGCAGGCTGAGGCTGTCACAGCAGCCTGACTTACAAACCATTACAGTAAGACTGCAGATCACCGACACCTACACAGGATCATTAAGAATTAAACAATTAACAGCAAGACCAGTTCTTCCAGGATAGTAATAAATGCAACCAAGTCCCAAGGAAGCTGCAGCTAAAACATTTAAACATAAAAATATAGCCTGACAGAAGCTTATAAGCCCGTCTAAAGCAACAGATTCCAATTAGCACTTGTGTCTCCAACATAGATTCTAAAACCTTTGAGACTAATGATGCAGCGGCAGGCAAAGGGCTAGAGTAAACCCGAATCAACGCAACATCCCAGTTGCAGGGATTCTCATTACAGTTTTTCCCCATTTCCAATGGATTTAGCCATTTTTCTAAATATAAACTTGATTTAGGGAGAAAGGGACCACATGCACATGTTTTTAGAACGCCTTTTTTTCTAGTGCTGTGCAGAGGCCTAAGCATTATGGCCCTAACAGTGAAGATATTCAAGAATACTGAAGTATGTCAAGAAGAACAGTTACTTTTAACAGTAACTCAGCAATAAAGTGAACTCAATACAGGCACTGGTACTTGCCCTTGTACCACAAAAGCGACATTTGCCTTTATATTGTCAGCTGCTAAAGCTTTAGAGTAAGCGTGGTGATCTGTGAGGGACTGAGGCTGGATAAGTAACTACTGAAAGAATCACTACTATATAGCAAGTAGCACACAACAGAAGTCAGCAATAGTACAGCCACGGGGTTTGTAGGCAGGCTGTCATGCACATACACATTGACATCAACAGGTACGTGCCCAGTGATACTTACCAATAATGATGTACTTAAAGATGTAGGAATAGTTGTAAGGTGCAGTTGCCATTGTGGCACTAAAACAAAAAATAGAACACATCAGAACTGCTACTTGTTCACCCAGCTCAACCCAATTCATCCAATTTAGTTCATATAAGCAAACAAAACCCCCTTCCTCTCCCCCCCCCCACCTCTCCTTTCACTCACAGTTCAAGTTTCTGTGTACTTCCCCACAGTCACTGAATTAGTGCCAGAGACACCCAGCAAAACTCCCATATTATTTGCTCTGAACCCCTGTCAGTAAGGCCTCTAAGTAGAAACGTGCTCTGCGTAGTATTGATACGCAGTCAATTTTATGCAGAAAGACTTAAGGCTGTTGAAAAGCTCCAGTAGCTTCTTGCTTCGTACAGAGTCAGCGAGTGGACCAGCACTCGCTAGCCAAATAGCTGATACATGAACTGAAAATAAAATCTGACTCCAAAAGAAAAATCTGAAGAGGTTTAACAAAACCAGCAATGGGAACTATTACCTCACACTTGAGACTTGCAACAGGAACAAAGGAAACAGGGCGGCTTGCAGCAAACAGCTAAGAATTACTTAAAAAGACAGCCCAAGATGCTGCAGTAGCCATAACCGGGGTCTGGACTGCTACATGCCCATGTCAGAAAAGCAGTACAAGCCACAAATCAGATGTTCAGGAAGTTAGTTAACATCTCTGTGGCTTTGTCAGCACAGTAGCAGTTTCTCTTTTTTTTTTGTTTTTGTTTTTCTTAAATACACCACACTGATCTAGTAAGATTTACACCCTAATCTACGGTCTATAGTGGATTTAAGTGATAGTCAAAATTAGATTGGGGTAAGTACTTCCAGTATTCTACAGTTTTGCTATGCTTTCCGAGATGTAGGAGGAATTAGAACTGGCTTCAGCTGTGTAAACCTGCAAGGGGTAACAGCTGACTTACAACCAATACATCAGTTAACCAGGATTACAAGTCTATGCAGCCCCAATATTGCCAGTTAACATACAGGATGCAAAATGCCTGCTTTTGTCCCAGGTTTTAAGTCAAACCAGATACAGTGTGATGAGTTAAGCAAGTGGAAGATTTCTACTAGGAATTCACCATTTCCTTTCCTGCTCCTGCATGGCAGATAGCCAGCCATCAGAAAAACATGGTACTTTTTATAAAGAACATTGCTTTAGCCTAGAAAGATTTTCATGCAGTCATGTGCTATCCACGTGACAAATGAAACCAGTACAGTAAAGAAAGAAAAACGCAGGAAAGCTTACAAGCCTGTAACTTTTTTTAAAGCAAATTGTTTCCTCAACCACAATTAATCCATAACAGTGAACCGTAGTCATAAGAAGGAAGGTGCCTAACAAATCTCATTCACAGTACAGAGCCAACAGCCACTGCTTCACACAGCAGAGGTTTAAAGCAAACGCTCTTATCTAGACCTTGGAGGGGGAACAACTCCAACAGGCAGTTAAGAAGGGTTTACTGTGTGCCAGTCGCTGATCCGCACCTTGCCTTTCCTTCATGCTTGGCTCGTGACATGGAAACTCTCAAGTCCTTATACCCCGAGCAGTATGCAAAGCATCTACGCTAAGTCCTATGTACACACACACGCAGTTACATTAAACCAAGTTTAATCCAAGATAGTAAACAAAAGACAATTTTGGACAGTAACTCTTGTACGTGTTGGCAAGACAGAATCCCACAGCAAGTGCTGCACAGGCTCCAAGAACAGTAATTTCAATCAAGAAAATTTTAGAAGAAACTCTTCTGCTGTAGTAGAGGGGAATCTCATGCAGCCATCCCACACCACCTTTGTCCTCGTCAGTCTCTGGCAAATCACCGCTCAGCGGACAGACCACTTCTCCTCACCATACTGGGTAAGAATTCACAGCCATGACTGAAATATGCACTGCCCTTTACCAAACATGCCAGAAACTTTACTGCCTCATTTCCTGGAAGTGGAAGATTCCAGAGTTTAGTATCAGCTTCAATACGTGCACTGATTATTTTCAACATAAGCAAATAGAGACAAGTAACTGCTCCATATAGAGTTCAAAATTAACGTGTCATTGTGGAAACATTCAATACTTCACGTTTTCTGAACACATCTTCACACACAACGTTCTTCCTCTTCTCCAGCAGGTCCCAATAGCAGTAATATTCAAACCAAGCATCTTCTGATCCAACCCCCTGGTTCTTACAGGATACTTAACTTGCCATTTGCTTCCCAAGTAAAGCTAGGGGGACTATTCATGGCTCAATTCAGTTTGACAGCAGAACAGGTTAAACTGGAGGATTACAAGGTATGCAAGTAAAAAAAAAAAAAAAGCTGGAAGAGGCCCATTTGTATGTGCAAGTACTTCAGGAGGATAGCATGAACTGCACTATTTTCCACAGAAAACAGGTGGGTGCTACAGCCACAACAGAGAAGGCGAAGACAGCGAGAGCACTCATATGCATCTAGTTTGAGAGCTCTTTGGCACGTTCTGCGGATGGCAGTATCTAGTAACTTGCGCTGTTTTTAAAAAAAAAATAAAAATCAGCATCAAACTCCCAGATAGGGAACCACTCACGTGGCTATGAAGTCTGTCCTGCAGAAACGTAGGTGACCCTCTCTTCCTTCAGAATTCCAGCTCGCTAAGGAATGCCAAGTACCCAGAAATACTCAAAGAAGTTTCATGTTTCTGAGCACACGACTTTGCAATATTCCTGCATATAACGAGCGAGGGGAACACGTCTGACTAACCAAGCTCGTAAGCAGCATCACTGGAAGGTGAGGAAAGCTTTTTTTTTTTTAAGAATAGACAAGCTGGGAACTCTGTGCAGGCTATATCACAAACTGCATTTGAAATGAGTCTCTTAACTAGAATCTTTACTGATAAATATACATCTCTTTCTATTTGACAGACTCATTTTGCTTTCTAAGGTATGTCAATTTTCATTATACTCTTTAAGTAAAGAAGTCTACCCATGCTACTTCAATACAGAAGAAACTCACTGCTTTGCAACACATACATCAAAATCAGTCCCCGCTTCAAAATAAGAATGAAAAAACCAAATTCTGTGCTTGGCAACAAAGTCTGCTAAGAAATGGGTGGGAAGGGAGGACTAACTTCAACTACATCTCATTGTTAAAACTTCACCCTCATTCTTACAGTGACATTAGGCCCCTAAAGGGGGTGAGAGATACCACACCCCACTGCATACAGCCAGGCTTAGCACACTCTCTCCACAGCTTAAAGAAACAGATTATTAATAGCAATACCAATAAATTCACTCATACGATGAGTCTAGACCTTCTCTCAAGTCCCAGAGAGTTGCTGGAGAAGTTATTGTGTCTGATGGACATAGGTACTGAAAGCTTGCAGAAACACAGACACTAAATTTAAACACAATTTCTGGATTTAACTGAAAAAAAAAAAAAGCAACACTTTGGTATTACATTTATTCCAAGTGTCACGTTACAGAAAAGATTCTGAAACACTCAAAATTATTACTAAAGGTCAGGAATCTTTTCTGGAACACAGATTACTTCCTTAAAAAAAAAAAAAAAAACCACAACCACACAACAAACTTTTAAACCACTCAAATTCCAATAAGGATAAGCAGGAATCCAAAATGTAATTAGATCTTGGAATAAAACTGATATTCCAGAAGGACTCTGTGCTGAAGGGGAAAAATAAATGCAACAAACTCAACACAGAAGTCACAGCAAGAATTCAGCCTTAGAAAACTTACAATCTCAGCATTTACTACAAATGAAAGAAGGAAGTCTAGACAAGAGTAGGGCACAACAGGATTCAGTAAAAACAAAAAATATTAACTACATGTTAATGCAAGGCGTTAATACATGTTGATAGCATCAGCCATCTGCAGAAACTGAGTTCTACCTCCACTTCACAGCCCTCTGTTCCAGACATGCGAGTCTTAATAAACCCAGTACAGGGGTTTGGGGTTTTCCCCTTGGGAGAGCAGGGGGCAAGAACTGCAGGGCTGAGAAAGCTGCACATAAGTATACGCAACTTACCTTCAGCCACTGTTGACATTATACAATATGACATCAAAGTTAACCAACCGTGAATTTACAGTTAAAGAGAAAATAAAAGAAGTTTAGCCTGCAATCTTGGTCTACCTGCCATCTTTCTTCCAGGAAAGTCTGCCAACTTAGAAAAAGCTTTAGCTCCCTGTTCAGAGGTAACACTTCCCCGGAGTTTAGAGCATTATTTCAGGATGGCAACTAGCCAGAAAGTCATGCTTCACTATACACAGATTGCTGCTAGTTTCAAGCCTGTACAATTAATTACCACGTTACAGTTAGGACTAGAAATTTTACAGTGAATAGTGTCACCATAATCCATTTTCCATGTATCAGCTTCTCCCTTAGAGGCTTCTTTTTATTTATAAAAAGTTAAAGATGACCTTAATGAGATACTAGTGACACCTACATTTCCTCCTCTAACCAACAAGCACTACACAGGTATTCTGACATCTCACTGAAGCCTTATTTCAAGTATCAGCATACATCTGTACAAACTGAGATAAGGTTGTTCTAGGCCTATTGCCGTAACATTCTTTATCAGAGTAACATAACCATAAACATCATATCCATACCAGCTTTTGTGAGACCCATGCAGTTCCTTCTAGCTCAACTTGAGGACATTGTCAATTTTAACTCTTCACTGGTTATCATTTGCATAGAGAAATTCCATAGCTTTATGCTCAGCAAGAAGCAGCTATGTTATCGGAAAAGACTAGCAACTGTATGCACAGGTCTTATTAGACACCACATGTGGTTAACACCATCAGCTAGCCAATCCACACAGAGATGATACCTCTGAAAACAGCTATCAGCTTCAAACTCAGGACCGTCTAATTATTCCAGGTTCCCCTTAAAAACATACCACTCTGCAGCCAGAGGACCACTGTTTAGTTAGTCTGAAGCAAGAGGCATTTTGTATGTCATCTGGCCATCCAGGTGTTCTTTCGGTCATTCCTCAAGGATACGCAACAGGAAAGGATCTCACAGTTGAAGTCCAGTTCCCTTCTATAAAAAGTA